TAACGAAAAATCAGATGAACATTTCAAAAAAGCAACAAAATCCTCAGACRTCTAAAAGCTAAACTTTACAACATAAGGAAATTTAAAAAACCAAATCAAGGAACGCATACTTCTTAAATGGAAAATGTACTAGCTTAATCAGGATACTGAACTAAGAAGAATAAAAAACACAATCTTCAGCTGGTCTAATTTACCCCGAATAGAAGGGATAAGACAATCATAGACAGACTTCGCATTGGCCACATCCATCTTACACATGGATACCTCATGAAAAAGGAAGAAAAACCAATGCGCATTTCTTGTGGAACTGAACTAACAGTCTGCCACATAACCACAGACTCCCGCCAATTTACAGACGAACAAAGAAATTCAAATGTATCAATCTCGTTGGATACAGCTCTCGGATCGAACGCTACCATCATTACACRGATTTTAAAATTCTTAAAAAAACCAATCAGTATAATAAAATTTAAAAAAAAAATTGTGTGTATACTAAGTGTGACTAATGGCCTTTGCTGGTGATGTAAAATATGTTCAATAAAAAAAAAAATATAGGTATTATATACCTATATGTGTGTGTTAATATAATATTATGTATGACTAATCTGCCGTCAAATATCCGGGCGCACTTATGAATATGTCACAAAATTGTTTTGAAAAAATAAAGCTCCATAGGTGAGAAATTTTGTTATTTGTGTATTAATTATATCTAGAAAACTAAATAGATACATACATTTAACAATGTAATTTTACTTTAAATATATTACAAAATAATTAAGTACTTTTTTTAAAAGTTTTTTTTTTAATTAGATCAAATTAGAACACCTGTAATCCTATCAATAGAATAAACAATTTACATTATCAATACATAAGAAATGTAGAACATAAATTAGTATGCTTTTTTTTTTAGTCATGACATTGAGAAATTTTTTTGTTGGAATGACATGCATACTATTTCCCACTAAATGGTACAGAAACGCATTTCTACTTTTGAAAAAATAAAAATTACAGTATGTGATGATTATGTTTAACTATAAAAATATCTTATATAATATTCTTAATGAAACATGCATATTTTAACACAAACTTAAACATCCTAAATAATAACATTGATAAATAGGTATATTATTTTTTTTTACAATGTCAAGTGTGTAGAGTCATACTTTATCAGGTTTAGGTGTATATAAGGTAAATAAACAAAGATACATTAAACATAAGCAAATAAATATGTTTAAGCAAGAATTTATTTATCTAGTTATCAAGTAGTAAACAGCAATATACACTGAGGTCAATAAATAAAGTAATATACCACATATAATCATTTTAAAACCATAGAAATTTTAAAAGGAAATTTGAATCATATTTGTCTGTTACCTATTAATGTATTGACATACATGTATTTATTGAGTAATAAGTTTTACATTATAAGATTCAAAAAACACATTTTGATAATTTAAAATTAAGATTTATAATATTTTCATGTGTTCTTCTGCAATTATGTACATTTATTAATATTTAAAGTTGTTAAACAGTCACTCATTTTACTAAATGTAAAGTGTATAATTAAAAAAAAAAAATTTTTTTGAAAGTAGGTAAGTATCAAAAATGGTTAAGTAACAAGATTAAACACCTATTTAAGAAACATATCATGTCAATATTTTAATGCTAGTTAGGTACAAATATCTGATTTATGTGCATACCTGCACTATAATACTTTGAATTTAGATATAGTAGGTATCCTTGTCTAATGAAACAAATGCCAATGCAATAATATCTATGTATTGTATATTATATTCCACCTAAGATTTAGGTTTTTCCCAAATGGCCAATTGCATTAAACATCATTTTGGTCAAAATAATTTATCAATTAGTCAAACTTCAAAGCTCTAAATATGGTTAGACAGTTAGACAATTATTTTGAAAAAATTTTAAAAGTGAATTCATACTTTGTATTTGTTCTATAATACCACAATATAAATTAAGGAATTTCTCTGCAATGACATATCAATTTATAAGCACATTTTTAAACATAATAGGTATGTATTTAACTTGAAAAGGTTCATGATACAGTTAAAATTCAATCTAAATATAGGCTAACCATTTCATGACTCATAAAGAAAGATTTAGAATTTCTTGATATTTCCTATTTGTATATTAAACAATTTATAAATTTGATTACTTCTGAAATAACAAATACAATGAGATCATTGAAAAATAAAAAAGAAGACCAAGCTATTTATTTAAAAATTATCATGAGATAGATTGCAACAAAAGGTACAAATTAACACTTGTAACTATTTCATGTATTTTTTAAATGTTAATCTGGGATTAGTATATTACAGTGAAATATGAATTGACATTTAATTAAACTTAAAGTAAGTATATAATTTTTGATTTCTCGTTGATATTTACAATATTTTAATTTTGAAGTGAGTTATGAGCTTTCATAAATTTTAATACATAATATCTGACAAAAAAAAAAAAAAAACAATCAGAGAACCCAGATAATGTTCTTCACTTTGAAATTGAGAAATCACTTTGATATTTAAGCTAACAACATACATTTTGGTGTTATGGATCATGGACAGAGACAAAAAATGTAGATATAACATCATTTTAATATTTAGGTTTCTAATAAATATATTGATTAAAAGAGTTTGCATTTCCCAAATCATTACATTAATAATGATAAATTAAAAGTGATGTTAAATTTAAATGGGTACTCGTAACTAAAATAATGTGTCATCTTAATCTACCAACAACACTTGTATAATATGCATTATGTASATACTACACACCTATCAATGTAATTTAAATATTTATACTTTTTAAATACATACCTACTTWATTACCAACATCATACATTAATAACTTGATGAGAATAATAATTATAACAAAATCAATTGAAATACATGTTTACTTTAAATTGTTGTGAATACTAACTTGATTTATAATATAACTTATAGATAATATTAAAAAGACAAAATTCAATTTTCACCTATTGTTTCAAGAATTCAGAGTATCAAAATTGTCAAAGTAGCAATATTTTAACAAAACACATATTATACGTCTTTTAGACAAAATATTTATACATAATGTTATGATAAAAAACAAAAAAGTTTTATAATCAAATTACAATATTTCATGGTAACAGCACACTTGTAAAACATACTGATTGTATTATTATTTTAAATAGAAAATGTATGAAACATAACCATGTAACTAATAAACAAATTATAGGTAACATTTTATTTCTTAAAAGTTGGTATACAGAAATATAATAATGGACTATAATATACAAAGATTCTAATATTTTTGATTACATAAATTATTACTTCTTATATAGTCATATGTTATACATACATTTATATTTTCTATAATACAATGCCCAATACAATGTGTTCAAAACTACATACTAGATTAAAATTTAATAGGCAGACATTGAGTTATTTATTTCTATAATATTGATATTTAAGTAGGAATAGTCAAATATTTTTATACATATAAATATTAAAGACATGTGCCATGCTTATGGAATGATAATTTAATAAAATGTAATAACAAAAAAAATTATTTCTAAGCCAGGTTAGGTTTAAAACCAATAATATAATGATTGTAAACATCATATATGCATAATTGTACGATTTTTTTAAATTTAAATTATATGCTACACGCCTACAATGTCCAGTAAGATAAATTAAATGTTGACTATAAAGTTGCTATGGTTACAGTTAATAGTACACCTTTGAGTGTCTGTTATTGACACTAAATATAAAATAATTACCAACAGTACATGAAAAAAATAAATTTAAAATCATTATAGTAAGGGCACTGCTACAAGGTTAAAAAACAATGCACGAAAAAGGGGCCTAGTAACAGAAATTTTAATACCTCACCCAGAGTATTAAGTTCTGTGACATATTTTTGTTGAATTTTTACATACTAGAATAATAATATTGACTTGACATTATATTCACTGTCTTTGGCCGATATGAAAAATCTAAAAGAACYATTTCTGAGTGTTTTGGGGGTGGATGAGAGGGTGATGGTCCTACGGCATTTCTGGACAGTAGACTAGGAAAGCACCAAAGAGGGGGACCTGATGTGAGCGTTGGGGGTCTCCCGGGCAACCTATGGCTTGAAGATTGATCACCGTGAGGGATGTGGAACGTGTTAAGGTATCGCTGCCCGAGGGCCGCGGTCGTCAAGATGCAATAGCTTAAGAAGCCTTGGCAGAACCGAGGGTCCAACAATGAACATTACTGTTGCCTTTCAGTACCTTTTTGTACTGATAAGTGTACCCCCGACCACGGAGACGGCGGCGGACGGGCGTCTGCATTGCGGATTCCCATTCCGGCCGACCGCCCGCCCTTCAAAGCACCGCATCTTACGGCCGCGACCCGACTTGACAGTTGAATGTAATCGTACATAGATGATAATTTAACAGAATTTACCTGAATTTATCGAGGGATTGGAAGTCACCCTGACGAACTCTGCCATTTTTCGATACTGACTGGTCCAGAAATTTTGGCAGTGCCGCCACACGAGATATAGTATCGAAACGGACGACGACTAAGCGTACTGATAATAGAGTCGTCAGTGTTCCGCTCACGGCATTTATAATCGTCGACGACAACGAATACCGACKTCAAAAATAATATTATATATTGTGGCGCGGTCCGTCAAAACGTTTAGAAATTAATTATGAAAATAATATCAGCAGCTGCTGTAATTAAACAAATAGTTGAAATTGTTACGAGTGATCGATGCGTTTGGTTCCCACTCACCGTACGATAATAAAATAATTTTTTCACTCAAACTGTCTGATATAACCAATGTGAACCATTGTCAAGAACCGCGGCCGATACGATTATTACTCATTATCGTTTGTGTATATTTTGACGATAATACTCTGTTATCATTTACTAACAGTTGTTGATACGTTATCACAATTGATGACGTGTGTGATACCACGCCGTTTTAAATTTATATGCATTGCATGCATTTTTCTATTAAGTTTTAAATACCAGCTAAGACCAGCTTACTGCTTAGTGCTTACTGGCTACTGCCTAGTTAACACTAACGGCAATAACTCTGAACGTGTCTCCACCAATAATAGTATTATTTATATTTTTTAATTTTATAATTTGTTAATTAGTCTTAAGTGTGACTAGTTTTACTCACTGAAAGTAATTAAGTGTAATTTAATTGTTATCTCGATTTTTTTATACATAAATACCCTTACCTATATGCAATTCAAATAGTCTTGTGTGGGACTTGTTAAAGTTTAAAACTCTGGTTTCAGTAGCTCAAATTAATACCTCTTTTAACATGGCTAATGAAGTATATATTGTGTCTGCTGTCCGTACACCGATAGGTAAGCATTTACCATATTTTAAGAGAGTTATAACATTTAAAATTTTTTAGAAATGTTAAATACCTATGTTAGAATTATTATTTTTAAATTTTGATTTCTAATCCTTATTAAATTAATTTTTTTTTTTTTTTGAGTTACCTAAATACAATTTATCAAAAATAATTACAATATTTATTAATGTTATATTTAATGAACTACCTACCAAAATTTTACAATAATATTGTAAGTAATTAAAGTTAATTATTATTATTTTACCCAAATTCTTTTAGTATCATTTTATCTGCTTGTAGAAAATAAATAAATATAAGTAAAATATCTATGCCTCTTATTTTTAAGCATGTTTTGAGAACTTAACTGAATTAAAAAATACCTACCTAAATATTACCTTGTGTTAAGATTCTTGTAATATAATATTATAGAAATGACCAAATTTTTTTAATAACATGATGTTCCTATATTTTTATTTTATCTATCATTATTTTTTTATTTTATAAAATAATAAAACTTATTAATTACATCATATTTTATTTTTATACATATCATAAATTTACTAATTTAACTATTTTTATTATTTAAAACTTGTATTTTAATAATATTATATTTTTAAATAATTTTGTTTATTAAATTTCAAAGTATGCAATCTGAATTCTTATATTTTATTGGAAAAAAAAACAAAATAATAGTTACCTGATAGGTCTTCCTATTAAATCTGTTTTAAATTCATACACTAATATTTATTTTATTTTGTTAACAATGTTAATATTGTATATTATGTTCATGTTTTAATTTTTTAGTAATATTATATTTATTGAAACAGTCTTAAATACCTTAGAAAAAATTATTGCTATGGCCCGATAACACAACATTTTAAAAGCAAATTACCTTAATTTATCTAAATAAAAAAAATTACATATTAGCTAATTAGGTATGCATCTAATCAGATAATTCAATTCGGTAATTCCCTGTAATTTCCTTATAAACTTAAGTTATTTCAAGGTATTTAAAAAAAATGTGATTAAAAAAATATATACCTTTTTGAATTGTATACTAAATTGTACACTGTGTAATTATTATACACTCCTTAATCTACTAATTGGATCACAAATTGTATGCCATCAATTCCAAAAATGACATGATTTTTTTTACTGTGGCTATTCAATTATGAAAAATATTGTGTTGTATAATGTTTTATGCTTTTATTAAACTTACAATTTAATTTTTTTTTTTTGTCATTTGAGAACATGTGTTTCATGGATTTGCCATCTCTGCATTAACTTTTATGTAATGATAACATTTTTAGGTAGTATTAAAAAATAATATTATTTTTAGATAGGTACCTATATTAAATTACATATATTATGTTTAATCATAAAAATAATTTATGTGTTGAACAAAATTACTTTACCTTATTATTAAAATAGGTATCTTCATAGGTATTATATAATATTATCTATAATGTGTTGGTATATAATAAATAATAATATTTTATTTAGCAACTGAAATTATTAATATGTATTTCTTGCTATAGGTAGTTGTATAACTAAAGAAATGCTTTATCGTGAAATTTGGAAATTCTTAATAGGTTTTATAATGAAGTGAATTACCTTTATTGGCTATTAATTCTATTAATGTTTATTTTTTAAATATTTTTAAAGATAAAATACAAAAGTTATATTTTAATAAGACTCAAGTCAATTTTATAATTTATATGTTTGATTATTAAACTTACGAGCACCTAGTTCATATCATTATTGTAAATTATTTTTAGATTTATTCCAATTATATAATAAAATATAATATGATTAATTAACTAACTAACTAACTAACTAACTTTAAAGAGCACTGATATTACCTATCACAGTAATTTAAACCTTAAGACAATTTAATAATCATAGGTAAATATTCAAATTATGTTACATAACAATTTAACCTCGTATAGTTAATATTATATAAATTAACTATACCAGATATTACAATGAACTCTACTAATATTTTACTTTATATTATATAACAAATAACATTTATTATTGATAAAATATTTTATTGTTATTAGATAATTTCTACTATTGTAAACTGTAAAGTATTTAACGGCATACATTGAATACAATGAATATATTGATTTTTGATTTTTGATGTTGCATATTAATGTAAGGTTGCTTATACAATCACTCAACATTTAACGGATGAAAATGAACAGTGGTTTCTTAAACTTGATTTAATAGCCAATGGTTGATGCCCTAGATTATTATCAATTTTTAATGTAATCTAGCTTTACTCTAAACTCTAAGCTGTAATCTTTTCTTAACAAATATATTTATGAACTATTTTAATTCTTTAATTTCATTTGGGGGTCATTCAAAATGTAATATGCTTACATATTTATGATTTATCCTAATAAACTATTAAGTAAATGCAAAATCGAAAAATCTCATAAAAACTAATGAAAACGCCATTTAAGTCACCATTATAAATATATTTTTGTGAACATGCTAGATAAAAACCATCCACTGATCGCTATTTGTTAATTTTTGATTAATTTATGGTAACCTAGTACTAGTCAAACAATTTTAGATTGAATTATTAATTTTTTTGAAAGTTCCATGAAGTATGACTATAATGTTTGATATATTTCATCTGCATATTTGTTTGATTTAATGAACAATCTTTTATCACAATATTCACATTTGGTCTCCAATTGAATAAAATTAAGGTTATATATTTACTCTAGGGTCATTTGGCGGCTCATTGTCATCCCTGAAAGCTCATCAATTAGGCTGCATAGTTATTTCAGAAGTACTTAAAAGAGCTAATGTCAATTCAAATGAAGTATCTGAAGTTATTCTTGGACAAGTAAACAACAATATACATTATATGTTAATTTATTAGTATTTAGTATTGAATATGTGTATAAAAGTATATAACATAAATGAAAATTTGTTAGACCCTCACAGCTGGACAAGGTCAAAATCCAGCTAGACAAGCATCAATAAATGCTGGAATTCCAATCACTGTACCCGCTCATGTAATCAACATGCTCTGTGGATCTGGGTTGAAGTGAGTTGAAATTTAAAATTACTCTTGAACATTATTTATAATTTATTTGATACTAACATATAAAACTAATTAGTAAGTTTTATAGGATAAAAATTATTTAAATTATATGAAAAAGAATAGGTGATTGTTCCCTAGGGCTGTGGTTCATGGATATCAGGCAATTAAATGCGGAGATTCTTCAATTGTCGTTGCAGGTGGCCAAGAGAGCATGAGTAATGCACCTCATGTTGTCAATTTACGATCTGGTATCAAAGTGGGTAACACTCAATTGATGGATACTATGATATGTGATGGATTGACAGATGCATTTGACAACATACACATGGGCATCACTGGTAAGAAATCAAAAAATTATGTAAATTATATGTTTTATATTTAAATTAGTTAAATTATTCTAATACCTACACATTTAACTGTGGGTTTTAGGTAAAAATAGAATATATTTTTTGATGTTTCAATTTTAGATCAAAGGATGATAGTTACTATTTTATCTATACTTCCCTCATAAGCTAAAATATCCAATAAAAAAATGAAAAATGGTGTAAAAGCAAAACAATAATTTAGCCTATAATATCCTTAGATGTAAGTCTGAAATATTGCCTTGTGGCTATCAAAATGTTAACATATGTGGGCAGCATGCGTATATCTGTTTTACTACAATTTAGTATAAAAAATTTGAAGTGAAATTTTAAATATTTAAAAAAAAATTGCTATTGTATATTAAGAGGACACCACATCCACATGTTCTGTATCCCCGTATTAGAAGTGTGTAACATAGCAAAAACTGTTTTGCGCGGTAAAGAACTGAGAAAGCTACAGTTATAACTAAAAAACAAAATTATCATCATATAAAAAAGAGAATTTTGTCCGTGCAATATCATTTTTAATTTTTTATTATCAGAACTACAAAAAAGTTATTCATGCTTAAAAAATACAAAAGTAATGTATTTTTAAATAATAAGAACTTTTTTGTATAAGTGATATCAAAAAAATAAATATGATATGCATAGAGGAAATTCTCCTTTTTATATGGTGAAAATTTTGTTTCTTAGTTATAACTGTAGCTTTCTCAGTTCTTTTCCACGTGAAACAATTTTTGCTATGTTACGCAATTGTTAGATGGAGACAACACATGCAGATGTGGCATCCTCTTAAGATTTTCACTCTCCGTTTAAATAATTTAATTTGAAATATGTAGTAGATTTTTTTATATTGTCCATCATGCATAGACATTTATTTTAAATCTTGATATAGTATCCTTTTGAAAATATAAAATATATTATTTTAATATTTATAAGAATTTTATATAAAATTATTAACTAACTAGATATTTTCTTTTCAGCTGAAAATATTGCTGAAAAGTATAATATTTCAAGGGAACTTCAAGATGAATATGCTTTTGAGTCTCAGAAACGGACAGCACAAGCTCAAAAAAATGGTTACTTCAAAGATGAAATAATACCAGTTGAAGTGAAAGTACGACGGAATACCATTGTATTTGACACAGATGAATTTCCAAAAAATGATACTACTTTAAATTCATTATCTGCATTGAGACCTGTTTTTAAATCTGTGAGTTTAAAAAGAATTAAGCATATGTTTAAAATATTATTTTAGAAGTAATTTTGAATGTCTGTTTATATTTAGAATGGTGGTGTAGTCACTGCTGGAAATGCATCAGGAATAAACGATGGTGCTGCAGTAGTACTTTTAATGAATGGAGAAGAATGCAAAAAACGTGGTTGTACTCCGTTAGCTAAAATCGTAGCTCATGCTGAGTGTGGGGTTGATCCAAAAATAATGGGTATTGGACCAATACCTGCTGTGCTTAAGACAGTAGGTCTAAACAATTTCTAATTATTGCCAAAAGTTATTTGAATACAACATCTGTAACTTACAAACTCTACAAATAGCTATGTGCATGTTTAACACACTTCACTGTGAGTAATTAATTAATAATATTACTACATTCCTAGATTGAAAAAGCTGGTTGGACAATGGATAGTGTGGATATATTTGAATTGAATGAAGCATTTGCTGCTCAATCAATTGCCGTTGTGCGTGATTTAGGATTAAATTCAGATAAAGTCAACATCTATGGAGGTGCTATTGCATTGGGTCATCCTATTGGAGCTTCTGGTATGATTATTATGTGAAAAAATGCTAAAATTTGTTTGAACTGTAATATAACACTTACGAAATGTATAGTAAAATGATCAATACTGATGATTACACTTAGTTGTCACAGATTTTAAATTTTGCATAAAATAATTAACTGATTTCAAATAATCATGAATCATAATATTTAATCGGCCATTCAGTATTTTTAACAACAATAAATAACCAGCTTTGTTTTCACAAAAATAAAATATATACCTATATATTTCTAATTAACAATTGTTCATTGTATGATTTGTATTGAATTTATTATCAATATTATTCATAACCACATAGGCATCAACTATCAATTCACATTTAGACCTATAGAATAATAAATAAATATCATATTGTGTGTTTAAAAAAAAAATTTTTAATGAATTAATTAGTTTGAGATACTATGAGTCTATGAATCACAATACTTATAACTAGGGCTGTAGCTAGGCACTGGCAAGAAGGCATTTACCAGGAGTTCATTTATTATATAAAAGACACAATTTCATTGAGGCTCAGTCAATTCAAGTATTATAATTTACAAAAAACAAAAAAAAAGTTTATTTTTTTAAATAATGAGTATTTTTTAGTAACAAAAAAATTTGATGAGGGGGACACAAATTTAGTTTTCTGTCAGAGGTGTTACAGGTACTTGGTATGGTCTTGCTTATAACATTGTAATGAAAAAGTGTTTTTAAACAATTAAATTATGTGGTTCATTTAATTAGGTGCTCGTGTATTGGTAACATTGGTGCACATATTGCTGAGGACTGGTAAAAAACGAGGCATAGCATCCTTATGCGTTGGCGGAGGTATGGGTATTGCTGTTGCTGTCGAGACATTATAATCACTGAACACTTATTTGTTCTCTGTACAGGACATTTGACTGTAAGAAGCACTTTTATCTAAGTCTAAAAATGTTACTAATTCCTGATATTTGTTGCAGGTAACATTACTGAGGAAATATTTATTGAGTATCACCTAACATAGGAAAATTAGGTTTTTTGAAAACAGGGTTGATAATTTTTTTTCATCTTGTATTCTATTTAAAATTAAAATATACTTTTTTGTTAATGGGTTATGGGCTATGACCAACATTTCAATGTTTATTATTGTTGATAATTCATTCATTTTAAATTATTGTTAATTCACATTGAAATGTTATCCTGTATTCTAAGCATTACATTTTTTTAATTCAACTGTCCAATTAAGATGATTTAAGTTCATAAATTTAAGCACATTTTATATCAATTAATTTTAATATGTATACATTTTTATAGAAAACAATTTATTATGTAATAATTGAGTGTTCATACTTTACAATGTATTAAACTACTTTTTTATCATTGCAGGTGTAAAATCACACTTCGATAATTATCTGAATATTAGTCATAGTATTGTTCTTAAAAAATATAACAAATGTGCCAAATATTTTATTTTTAAAAAAAAAAACTAAAATTTTCATACATTGTAGTTCATTTTTGTGGTTAATCATAAACCAGACAATAGATTCATAATTTCTTTGACGATTAGGTAATTGTTAAATTTTGATACCACATAAATAATTATTAAATATGTATAATAAGCAATTCAACATGAAGAAAATATGTAATAATTATGGTTATAGGTTTGGTTGAGTAATAGCAATCACAAATTAAGACAAAACCCATTTAAAATCATTGTAAATCAAAGATTTATTTATGTCATTACATTATTATTTTAAAATTTTATATAAGCTATTGGGTATAAATGGGAAAAAACCATTACCATTAATAGAAACTTTATTTTTGGTAAATGGCATAAATTCAAAATTTATGGGCTTTTTTGCCAGATGCTTAATGGATGGAATACAAAGTTTTCCGTGATTCGCAATGAACGAAGTCCAAATGGAAGTGTCTCTTTTTTCATCATCGACAAAATATGAACTCCATTTGTTTGTTCTTAACATGTTATTGTCGGGATTAATATCATTATCATTTGAATCTAATTTCATTTCCTCAACAACAGCTATAGTATCTATACCAGAGAACTTGGCAGGAGCTACGACATCTTGCAATATATTATCACCAATATACAAACACTTTGGGTTAGACTTCCCAGTTTCTTTTTTAAATAAATCATGTAACTGATTCCAATTACCTTGACTATAAATATTGTTAAATTGTATGTTGTCAACAATATCACATTCGTTTAACATTTGAGAATCGGTACTATAAAATGGTCTATTCAAAGTGAAAAATCCAGGTTTTCTTGAATAAAAAACAGCGACGTCAAATAGTTCTTTCCAGTTTTCACCTAATGACTGTGTAGCTGTAAAATTAGCATAGTCAACATGTGATCCAGAAATCAGGAAAACTTTTTTAGTTTGTTTTAATTCTTTGAGCCAGTTGAGCACATAGTCTGGACATTTATTATAGTATAATGAAGGAGTAGATTTCAAGTATGGAAAATAATCGCCAGTATTTGCTGAAAAGTTCTCCCTAGAGTACATGTAGATCAAACCTTTTAACACGTCGGGCCAGACGCTATAGGTTTCAGGGCGAGATAAGTTATCAATACCGTCTACACAACGTCCGAATACAAGAGACACGGGGATATCAAAAAAATCAAGAAGAGGACGGATCTTTTCGGACATGGGTCCGTTCCACGTTTCGAGAAAATTTTGTACAAACACATCAGTCACCGCCCACGTCCTTTCCGGTCCATACACCGACACGATTTCCTCGTCGGACATGAACTTGGTGCCATGGGTTGCTCTCAGTATTTGACCGTTACCGTTGATTTTTAAGACGTTACCCTTTTCAGCGTCTAACAACAGACCCCGCTGAAAGAAATCGAAATCTATCGGCTGCCGCAGATGCTTGTCCGAGTAATTGCAATTTTTTATGAGGTAATCGATTAGTACGTCATAAATCATCTGGACCATGGGCCCTATGCGGTATTCGCATATCGTGTTGTCTAGGTCGAAACCGATGCAATCGTAGTCGGTCAACCTGAACGTCTCCGTCATCGTTTGTAGGTGAAAATATGATAAAGCACACGACTGATGACCGATGTGTCCCGACTCACAAATCCCAAAATATCTTACGGGCGTGTTGTAATGTCGTGTAGGTACAACAATGTGTAACGATATCAGATCTCGTCACCTGTCGGTGATAAACAGATAATGTGGCGCGCGCTTTTCAATCCTTAACCTGAAAAATATTCAACGCAACAATTATTACTAATTTGTGATATCCGTTACGACTGTTATTGGATATTTTTAGCCGTTGAGAGTGTTGAGACTGTTAAGACTCAGACGCCGCCGGAAGTCTTCATCGGAGCATCGACGGTTCCGGACAGAAGACCCGTAACTACAGACAGTACCTTCAGTTCAATTCACTCGAAACCGTCGACACCCTCTCCAAGACTTCAGGCAACTGGTGAGTCGAGGGTATTATTTTGATCATTAAAACGAATCGTACTTGCACGGGTTGTGGTCCGGTGAAATCGTCGAATTCTCGTCGCACGGCAGCAGCTGTATAGTTTTCGACGGAAGACACACCTCGAATGATCGAACGTTCGGAATTCCGCTGATAACGGCATTATCAACACAGAATGCAGAATCATAAACAATACCAAGTACACTATAATAACTGTGCTACCTACTTAATATGTTACTTGTAATTTTAACTATAATGATAGGTTATTATAATTTATAATTGTAAATTTGTAATTATTATTGTTTTATCTCTGACCACAATAGTTCGGCATATTGTTATTAAAATGGTTTCTAATGATTGGTGGCCCCTGCTTTAGATAACACTTATCTCGAAGTCGGAGTACTCGAATAGATTTGCAGGTTGACATTTTTGCCAATTCTATGACATTATATAAAAAAATATAATGTCATAGAATAAAAAAACACAATTATACATTACATCAATTCTAAAAAAGTCACTGTTTGATCTACCTATCTCTCGTGTAGTCGTTTTATGAAGTCATACGATCAAGATACTGATTGGATTCTAGGCTTACACCATTGAATTTACAAATGAGATATTAAAAAAGTGTTTCGTGGTCCTCACGAACACGGCCTCGGAACCCCCAAGTCTGGGTTTTAAAAAATATAACCATTCTCTCTTAAAGTTTCATAATATTTTTTTTAAAACTATAAAAAGGCATGACATATTATTTGTATTAGTATTACGTCTAATCAATGGTAGGTGTTTAAATGATTGTAGTTTAATAATTATTTATGGTTGATGTTTCATACATATTATTGTTATAAATTCATATTAAGAAATACTATAGTATATTTTTTTTTATGACAACAATTGAAATTGAACTTCTTAACAATTTATCAGGTATGATGTACGAATGAATTTATGCTATAAAAATATACATATAAAAAAAATTTACTGACACATATTCTGAATATAATATTGGGTGGACAAATTCGACATTGAGAAAATTTAATGGTATTTGATGGATTGATTTAAAAATATATATGATTTATTGATTTATTGTGGTCAATTTTTGACCATTGACTATTATTGTATTTATTATGTAAATAATTTAAATACTATTAACTTTAATAGCCATTAGAATTTAGAGATTATCCTAGTTGATTGTATGAACATCATTATTGTAAGATATTAAGATATATTATATTATACACATGAATCAGTACCGTCGGGGAGGGGTTAAGGGTTTTAACTCCCCTCCCCAGTAGACTAGCAATGCTAAATATTCATCGGGATATTGAAATCTCAACAGACACAGTACTAGATGAATTACCAAAATCATCGAGACGAATTAATATTAAGTTATAAGTTATAACTTAATAGGTTAGTGTTTTTAGACCATAAAATATACATTTTTTAAAAATTGTACTGTGCATGTCTTTAAATATAAATAGAATACAATTGTATAAACATTTTTTTTATATATATATATATATGTATATAAAATATGGTAACCCCTTCATTAAAGAATTCTGCGTACGCCACTGACATGAATACTTGTAGTGACTTGTAATATTTATCATATATTTGATGATCCACGTGTATAAATTTTGTAGGTACTTAAAATACCTAATGTATTGTGTACCTATTTCATTTTTATAAAAAAAAACTATAATATTATGATATGAATTATGAATAATATATGATTATAAAACATAATACCTAGGTACATATATATTTTAACATACACCGATGTGATCTACTATTAAAATAATAATAATCGATCCAACGTAAGTACTTGGAATTTATAAGAAATGGCTTAAAATAAATAAAACGTAATATTATGTGGCTAAATAAAAAATAAATACACCCTTAACTTAAAAAACATTTATGTATTGAAATACAAAATTCGGTTAAGAATAACATGTGTTTTATTAACATAATATTAAAATCATAAGTTTACAATTTAACATCATAATTACACATATATAATACCATTGAGTATAGATATTATACATATATTATATAGTATACTATCTATACTCAATGATAATACACATTATATACGTAATACCTAATAACTACTATAAAAACAAAATAAGACACTAATTTGTTATGTAAGTTAATTGTGTCAATGCAGGTTATAAAGTCATCTACTAAATTAATAATTTACTATTTTTTGATTTTATATAATGATATAGAAAATATAGTGTAGTCGATATTCATTCGCTTCTCCTTCTRATGTTTTGTGGTAATATCAGATCKTCAACCACGTGGACCAGTCCATTGGTTGTCATTATATCCATTTCGACTATTTCAGCTTCGTTGACCTGTGTATAACATTTATACATATAGCACAACAATAAATTATTGGAACCTTGTTAATTGTTTTTTTATAATTATATCTAAAATAAAAATAACGCAGAAACCTTGTAAATACAATATACTTACATCCGCGTAGGTAACTAAAGATACATTAATTTAATGAATTTACAAAACTTATGTAAAGGATGCTAAAATCATGTAACAATTGGGTATCGGGGAAGTCGTTTTTCAGATAGGTAGTAAAGATTAATTAACGTCTTAAACTTGGCAATGATTTTTGAACAATTTAATATAATATATTGTAGCGCGCATACCTACCCATTCAAATCTGCTACAACTCGAACATATCAACATTTTAACTATTCAAAATTCTAATCGCATATATTATTATTTATAATGAATGGCCATACCATAAACTTGTCATCTTCGTTAGATACGCGGACGATTTCGTTATTCGTTTTGATCTCGTACTGCCGACGCGTGCCGATCAACGCCGACGGCAGGATGCGATCGGCTTGGTGGTTGTCGAGGATTTGTCGCATGCGAGTTGGGTTGCCGAACAACCTGTGGAGTTCGACTGCACCGAGTTTCCTAAAAGCATAGTCCGTGGGTACGAAATACGTATTGTGAACGCCACTGCAGAACTCGAACGGAGTCCGACCCTCCGAAGAAGTACCCAGCACCAGGTCCATCGCTTGCGCGTACAAACTGCAGATCAGTCGCCATAATAATAAGCGCATTTTAAATCTCAGTAGCATGTCAGTTGTTCGGTATTATATGTTGACGAGGAGAGGAAGCTTGCTAACAGTTGCTGTACGGGATGGTATAGCGGAATAATATGCTGCAACGTGCAGCGGATGTCGGTAATTTGCAGTAATTTTTGACTAAGTATTATATTATATGCTGGAGTTGTTTTGATTTCAAATTAATATGATGGGCACACTTCGTGGTATTATTCATTATTTAACCGATCTTTTTAAGATTTACCTAATTTTTTTCAAAATTTTGATAATTCAAACATTTTAATATGAGTACCTATTTGAAACTTTTAACTAGGTACTTATTCTAAAACTACTGCAATTAGCGTTTTTCGTATAGATCAGGGGTCGGCAAGTAATTTCTGTTGAAGTCCGGAAGATTAAAATAATAAATAAACGAGGTCCAGTGAAAAAAATGTTCGCCAAATCTTTATGTTTTTATAATAGTAATATGAAGAGAAAATGTTAAGACATGTTAACGATCCGGAGGCTTTCTGCGTTCCACGGTCCGGATTCGGATTCGGTTGCCGACCGTTGGTATAGATTTTTGGTAAATAATATATATTGCCTTACTACAATATCGATGCAATATTTTTTGCTTCAATTTTGCCCCCACCGTAGTAATATTTTGTGAATTGTTTTGTAGTATCACATCGGTTATTACCTAAGTTATAATTTATACCTAAGCGTATTGGGAGTTACCCGTTTCCGCCAAAAGTGTACCTTTCCCTTTTCCCCCAATTCACTTTTCCGCCAAATCATAAATTGTTCGATTCCCTTTTCCGCCAAAACCCTACCTTGCCCTTTTCCCCCAATTCACTTTTCCGCCAAATCTAAAAAGTAAGTCTAGTATAATTTAAATATTATATTATATACAATATGCATGTTAGTCATATTTTAATATATTATAAATTATAATT